ACATACACACACACACACACACACACACACACACACACACACACATATATATATATATATATATATATATATATATATATATATATATATATATATATATATATATATATATATATATATGTGCGTGTGTGTGTGTGTGCGTGTGGTTACTGTATACTTATACAAACAAGTTAAATTGTTCCAAACAAGATGCAGCGTTGCTGGCCTACAGTTTTGACCCTTAATAACAGGACTACACTTATAATACAAAACATTGCTATAAATTAGCGGACTTCCATTGGTGGTATGCCATTAGATTATTTGAAAAGCAGGACAATTTAAGCTATCAATACAAAATGAGGAATGGTTACAATGAACTTGCGCAGATTAACGGACGTGCTATATATACAATTGACACTTTTGAATACGTTTGTGTGTTGCTTTTAATATGTTCAATATGTAATAAGCCTTTCAGGAAGCAACAATTATCACCTTCCACAAAACTGGCAGTATAAAATTGAGTCGTCACTGAGATAAATGTTTTTTCTCGTGAAACGATTGGGTTTCTCGTGAAACAATTGAGTGCATGCAGGTTCATATGATGAACGCTGTTTGTGGATATCGTGGAGACTGTCGATAAAGGAGCGTATGATTTTATCGCGGTTTTGATACTTCTCCTTTGTTTGTAGTTCACCAGTAGCCGTTTATGATGTAACGCCGCTCAAAGCACTGCTTGAGTGAGAAGATAGGCGGATCCGTGCAAATTCCAATTTACATTTGTGTGTGTGTGTGTGTGTGTGTGTGTGTGTGTGTCAGCAGGTTCTTGAAACTATGAATGTATCAACGCAATTTCGGCGTGTTTGCATATTCACTCGTGCACCATGGCGCGTAGCAGGTGCGTCCGCTGATAAAGCTCAAAAAAGCGTTACACGCGCTAAAAACGGGCAATTACACGCTTTCGCAGGCTTCGGCGTGCGCGCTCCCAATGCAGACGCACCTGAGATGCTCAGTACAATGAAAGAACAGCGCCACCGCTACTGTCACCCGCAAGAAAATCAGCCGAGATGCGGGGCGGCCGCCTCGTTCATTCCACTGCCCCCTTCTAGTAAACTGCAGCGAAAGCATTCGAACGAAAAAAATAAACAGAATTGAGATAGAAAAAGAGAATGTGTCGGCTGGCAGTGGCTCAAAATATTTACAGTGAAACGAAAGAGTGCAAGAAACATTCGAATGTACCGGGAGCCGTTACCTGTCATCGCTACCGTTGGCCGCCGTATATTTTGAAATGAGGATTATAATGTCGATAGACTGCTGCTGACTACGAGTCAGCTGGAGCAAAAACTATTACAAAAGATTGATGACGCAGCACATGTTTAAGAAAACTACTTGCTCTAAGAAATAATTGTTTTTCATGTGTAGCGATACGCAAACATGTAGTATTCGATCACTTTAGCATTGAAACTTGGCCCCGATGAGGGCGCCCCTACATGAAAGTGCGATAGCGCGAGTGGCGAGAGGGGTTAGTAGATCCACTCTGGGTCTTTTAAGAAAAAACGCGCTGCTCATAGAGTTTCTCAAAATTAACTAGAGGGCACTCTGGCGCTGCGATCGTTCAGCGACCATGGGAATGTTGGGTAGTACACACATTTGTCTAGTCTTCGTATTTGCTGGCGGCGAATCGTACTTGCGGCTTCGTTTATTGCTGTGTTCCGGTTTTCTTTTGAAAGAAAAATTGAATGCTTTTGAACTTAGTGAGCCAATTTGGAAAGTAAGTCTAAAAAATAAAATGGTGAAGCGCAACCGCTGAACATTTGGTAATACTTGTTTCGTAAGAAAACAGCTTCAAGCCACACGAACACACAAGGAGCCAAAGCCAGGCAAGAAGTACGAATATTAGACAAATGTGTGTACTACTCATCATTCCCATGCTCGCTGAAGCGTTGTGCGTTGCAGCTCCCTTAGACACTAGCGCCAATGTTCTCTCTAGTAAGTATTGTGGGAAACTCTAAGGCGCTGCTGTATATTTTTTTGCCCCATACAGGTGATCATTTCAATTTGAGAGTTTCGGGGCCTGGTAACACTCTTTCGACTCGTTTATCTGCGATGGTGAGGACGCCAGAAGACGACGCTCGTTCACCCGCTGAAACACCCTTTGAAGCGAGTAAGCCTAACCCGGCCGTGACCGGCGTTATGACGTTTATCGAAGCCGATTCCGTTGGCGAATGGCGCCGTTGCACCATTCAACCCGTGCGCAACGCTGCTGCTTTGCATCCCATCAGGGTTATCATTGGGAAGATGGTGCGGTTTTGTTGCTTAGGAACGCACGAAAACAATGGGCTAGCTCTTTTATTTTCAGTAGTCTGTTTACAAAAACCGTCGCAAGAAAATTTGCCGTGTGAGAACTTGCCTTTGACGTCAGTTCTGTGGTTCTGCTTTTTGAGCGGCTTACTCAGCAAAAACCATTAGCTTGGTCAAGCATTTGTAATTGTGGTGTGCCACACCACATTTTCGCAATAAGCCTGTGCAGACATAGCGAGCATGTTTGCCTCAGAGCACGTTAGCGTTGTGAAAAACATTGCCATATGTGAAGATAAGCGAATAATTTTACGCGCTTAACATCGTGGATATAATGGCAGATGTCTCGGTGGTGGTAGTTTTTAGAAGAAGGCACCTGATTTCTGCAGCCTGGCAGGGAGCATGGCGCAGCGCTTAACAGAAGTCTTAGACGCACCTGAAGGGTTTCGTTATACTCGCTTCAAATAAATGTGTCACTTGGTCATGAAGCATATGTTTCTATTTGTGGGGACACGGTTCATTTGAAAAGGCGGCAGCGAACGATAGTATCGACTTAGACTACGCTTTTTCTGTTTATAAGCAGCTATGAGGACACACCTAACACAAGTGTATTGGGCAGGGCTGTTCTTGCTGCGGTGGGCGCGCTTCAGGAGACTTTTACGTCGGTGAGAATTCACAGGAAAACAGTAAACGGGAAGCACTCCGAATCTTTTTACGGTCTGTACGCATTTAGCGGCCTCGAATGGAGCATACGAATCGAGCCGCTGAGCTGACAGGTACGTAGTCGCATTGTCTACACCATGTAGTTATCATCGCACGCGCATTGAGAATGAGTGCCGCCGAGATCACCCTGGACAACTTCGCACGTATCACTGATTGCCGGAATAAACTTGACATATTTGTTATATATGAGGGTTTACTTTAACGATTCATGGCAATGTATTTTTACACCATGCATTTGCATATTGTACGCTATATAGCTTGTTGTTCAACTGGGTCTGTCGTCTTGCGTTAGTTAACAAATCAAAATGTTCCCGTGTGACTTACATTGCTGCAACGACGTTGAAATTTCGCAAATGTCAACACCGTTAAGACACTTCATGTTTTGGTAAGGTTCTCAAAGCTAGAGCTACACGTCAAACTAGGCTCATATGTCCACTGGAACTTATTCTATGGCGGCCGCCACTGGTAGACATGTGGGAGGCGTTCAAAACGGCGCCTCTGTCCAGACGCATCATGCTCAGGGGCAGCTTTTCCTCCTGCTGCTCTAGTAGTCACGTGAATTTAGAGGGCCGTAGTGCGCTTTTGGCTGGGCAGAGCCTACCCGCCGTGACGCCACTACAACAAACCGACATGTATCCACGGCGCCTATTGTTGTTCACAAACATGAATAGGTCTATCGTTTTGAGGCACTGTGTTATTGCTGGCGAAATACACTAAATCATTTTAAAATAACTGTGGCATTCAGCATGCACTCTGTAAGACTTCTATTTAGAATATACTTTGTTAAATATATCTGCCATACTGTTTTGCTTTTTCTATACTTTTTTTTCGTTGTAGCATTTGTACTCCTCGTTTTTTTTAAATGAGTAGTCTTGCTAAAACAGCAAAGCTGGATATTCATTGCATTCTTCAAGCTGTTTAATGCAACTTTTAGTTCTCAGAACTGCTTGCTGTGCGACTATATGTAGTAAACAAACAAATTCAGCTCAACCTAACTTAACGTCTTGAAAGTGCGAAAAATTCTTCACAATCTGTTTTTTGTTTTTATATACAGGAGTATTTTCTCCAGCTAGTTTCGATAAGAAAACACACAAAGCTCATACATTTCCGTGCTTGCACCAATTAGGGATAGCTTGAAAGGTCAGCCAAAAAATTTTGTTGGCAGTGTGTGCAAATGCACGCATGAATAAACTTGGTCACTTAGATCACTTCACGCTGTAATATTTTTCGTTTTAGCAATTTAATAATTTTTGTATTAGCAGGCTACGCAACGAAGATAAGATGTAAAGCTGTATGCCATAATTGGCAATGTTGCACAGGCTTCCCCGAAAATTTCTATTTGTCATGCTATGACTATTCACTGATGATCACTACGGCACAGCTCACAAGGTATCACGCTGTATTCTGGTGTGCTCATGCAGAAATATTGACGTCACCAAACGGCGAGTTGCTGGAGCGGCATTATATCTTGTCGGATACATGGTACAGCTGGAACTCGATCTGATGAAGACCCAGTTTAGGAAGTTTTCAATCTATACGAGAAATTTTAGTTCTCCAGCAATTAATCATGTGTTTCTGTGTTGTCATCAACTCGAATAAACAATCTTTCCTACCACTACAGAGGTAAAGAACAATTTCCTAATGTAAGTCCGCAAACAAGATGAAAAACACAGTTTCAGTGCAAGGACCATGCAATGCACGAGACAGCAACAAAATACAATGTCATGTGAAGTAAGGCTGGCAGCTAACGCTTTTGAATCAGACGGAAATCAGGCAGAGCTAGCTGTTAAATGAGGAAATAAAAGTGGAGTGATTTTTAATATTCTACCTACAGGCGTGCGTAAAGTGTTTGTTAATAACGCAATCACCAATGTGCAATCTTTCTTCCTTTCTTTTTAAATAGAGCAATTGCACTCAGAAGCTTCCCAGATGTATTGTACGTGGTAAAATGCATCGCCGGAAATAACTGCTATTCACACTAATGCAACTTCTATCCTGCTTACCTGTTTTTAGTGGACATATAAAAGGGACTGTACAAGGACCTAGGAAAAAAAGTCAGAATATATACTCAAGTCAAATACTAAGGCAGTTCCGCGATGAAATATGACAGCGAATGAGTACACAGGGTGTTTCACGTAAGAACCAAAGAAAAAAATTCAATGAAGGCGATTTATAGTTGTTGGGTGTATTCTAAGCATTTGAATTCTGTGATTGAGAGTATTAATGCGGCCGATTGTTCAGTAGCTGCTACGACACCCTGCTTGATCCACTGGTTGGTTGAATTTAATAGTTTTCTTAATTCCATTAGCAATTACACTTGTAAAAAGCTTGATATGACGGGTAGCAAGCTGATAGGCCTGTGATTCTTCAAGTACTTGTCGTCCGACTTCTTGTGAATTAAGATGATGTTAGCTGCCTTCCAAGTTTCTGATACCCTTATCGTCAGAAGACACTGTATAAAGAGGGTGTCCAGTTTTTCTAACACAATCTGCCTTCCCTTTCAGAAAATGTCATGTTATCTCATCCTCACGAACAGCTTTGCCTCTTTGCAATCCCCCAAGGCTTTTCTGACTTCTGTCATTAGTCATGGGATGTTAGCTGGGGTACTGGTAGTTCTTACAATACGGTCATGGTTCTCGCGGCTACTGTGCAAATCTCTGCAAAACTCCTCCGCTACTTTAGCGATCCCATTCATATTGTTAGTTACTTTGCCTTCCTTATCCCTTAGTGCATACATCTGGATTTCGCCTATCGCAGGTTTTATCTTCACTGCTTTGACACCTCCTTCGTTCCTTAGAGTATCTTCGATTCTCCCCTCGTTATACTTCCTTACGTCGGATACCTTACGCTTGTTTGAAAGTTCTTCCAGTTCTTTTTTGGATGTTGCGTACAAGACTTTTATGTTTTCGCCTTTTTTTATTCAGGTTCATTGTCTCCTGGGACAGCTTGCTAGTGCCCTGTCTAACTACCGTGCCTCCAAATTCGACTTCACACTTCGTATTATACTTATCAAATTACAAATAATTGCATCAACGCTAAGCCCGGTTTCCCCCATTACACGCGAGTATCTGTTCTAAAGCGACTCTGAATTCCTGTAAATTCCCTCTAAGCGCTAACTCAGGGATCGGCTTCTTGCGTATCAGTTTCTGCCGTTCTTTCTTTCTAGTCAAGGCGAATTCGACACCTTACCATTCTACGATCACTGCGTCGTACATTGCCAAGCACTTCCGTATCGTGCATCATGCCTGGATGTGCACTCAGTATAACGTCGATTTAGTTCTGACTTTTGTCACAAGGGCTCCTTCATTTCCTGTTATGGTTCACTGGTTTTAGTTAAATAGAATTTAAGATTCGTAAATTATTGCGTTTTGCAAACTCTACTAATAATTCTTCTCTGGCATTTCTATTACCGATGTATTATTCTCCTACTGCCTGCTCTCTAGCTTGCTGCTTTCCTATTTTGGTACTGAAGTCACCCACTACCTCCCACAGGGATATGCCAATTAACCCTCGGCCCTCAGTCCCCAGTGGCTGTGAAGTAGCTGGCCACGACGGCGGTCAAATCTGTGATGCTGCAGAGGGTGCAAAGAATCCCTGGATCCGGACAGGCCGCCATTGAAAACCGAGCTTGGTAACCTTAAAAGCTAGAGCTTTATCTAGTGAGGCAAGTGTAGCCGTGTTACTCAAAGAACTAGAGGGTGTTAAATGGCATGCAATGGGGCTCAGTGATGTTAGGACGACAGATTAAGCCTATGCAGTGCTACAGAATGGGCGAGTTCTTTGCTATCGTGAACTGGCTGACAGAAGAGAACTGGGGCTGGGGTTCCTTATTCATAGAAATATAGCTGGTAAAATAGCGTAATACTACAACATCAATGAAAGGGTGGCAAGTATAGTAATTAAACTTGATAAGATATACAGTATAAAGGTGGTACAAGCCTACGCGCCTACATTCAATTATGATTACGTATTAGTTGAAAGATTGAATGAAGACGGGAAATCGACAATGAGTAGGGTAATCAGTAACGAGACGCAGTATACCATATTAAAGGGTAACTGCAGAACTTGTTGGTATTGTGGTGCAAGTTGTGAGATATGAAATTAAGACCCACCGCATTGGGCGAAGCCGCACTGGGCGACAAGCGTCAGAGCGACAGCAATGCTGACGATGGCCTTCATGGTGCTTCTTGCCTGAGAAGCCTAGATGAGACGATTCACCGATGTTTAAATGCCGTTCATCTTCCTATCGAATAGCATTGACTTGGTGACATTTTCACACGCGGCAGGTGTAAATATTACACCTGCCTTTCAGTTCGACATTCCATATCCTATTTTGGAATCGGTCTTCTTGAATGACAAAGGTGCCAAATACAATGGGCATTGTTGAGGCAAATTCGTTTTATCAGACGTTACGAAAGACCCCGATTTCAGCGACGTTTAATTTCACGTGTTGACATTTGTAAAGCATATTTCATACATTTATTATAACACCACTTTGTGGAAGCTGTGAAAGATGCAGTCTATGGACTGAGAATTTTGATTACCAATAATATCTGGCGAGAAAGTGCATGGAAGCGCCCTCAGCATGTTTGATAGGGGAGAGAATGCTTGAAGCTCGTTCAATTACGTCTAGGTACACGTTGAACAACCGCAGTTCGAAATTTCCGCAGTCCACCACTGCGGCGTCCCTCGTAATTACATGGTAGTTTTGGAACCTCAAACCCCAATCATTATTCTATGTTTCCAGCCTGCCCTCATTTATTGCAGGCTGGTCTACGATGGCAAACTCATCTACTACAGCCCCCGTAAGACTTAATCGTGAGAAACATCAAGGAGCGCAGGGGCTGAACGATCCAAAACGTTTGGAACAATACCCAAATATTGAACAGGCGGCTGCTCGGGAATAACAAGAAAAAAGAACAGTGGAAGCAAACACCATGTAAGGTGCCAACAAACTAAATCTAACTGAAGTCGGGGTAAATACTTTGAACCCCCTAATGAAGAAGCCCGAGAGGGAATGCCAAATCGCAAAGCCGCTGATGAGGATCAGGTAACATCAGACCTATTGAAAGACAGTGGTCAGATTGTGTAAGGGAAAAACTGGCCACCCAGTACACGAAGTGTTTCACGACGAGGAGGATACCAGCATCTTGGAGGAACGCCAACGTCATCTTAATCTATAGGAAGGGAGACGTCGAAAACTTGAAAACGTACAGGTCGATCAGCTTACTGTCCATTATATATAATCAATTTAAAAAAAAACATTCGCTAAAAGAATTAATACGACATTGTTTCACTCAACCAGAGAACGAAGCCGCATTTTTTCCAGACTACTAAACAATTGCCCATATTTAAAGTATTATTCAGGTGATAAAAAACGCATGGAATACTACCTAGCCCTATACATAGCCTTCATAGATTACGAGAAAGCAGTTGACTTGGCGTAGATATCAACAGTCATGCATGAACTGCAGAATAGTAGCATTGTGGTAGCCTATATAACCATACTGCAAGATCTATAACGAGAATTCGCAGTCACCATAATAAAAAAGGACAAAAGGCAGGGAGACAGGATCTCTCCAATGGTATTCGCTGCTTGTGTATAGGATACCTTCGGGGCTGCTGCGTCGTGTTCAATTTACGTTGAACTTTCTTCGTGAGCCTCCAGGTAGCTCTTTAGTTAATTACCCGTAAGATTCAGTTGTTATATACCTTTCCCTTAAGGAACAGAGGTAGACTACCGTTCATAGTTATAAAATGCTAGTTGAATGTGCCCCCCCCCCTTCTCATTGTTTCCTGTCCAAAGTACACATATTATTTATGACTTCCGGTGTATCCGCACCTATCTCAAAACGCTGTTCCCTGCCGCGAATGTTGCCGGGACTGTTGCGCGACTGTTTTATGCATATTATTTCAAGATATACACACCTGCTTTCCATGTCAAGATCAGTTATGATGATGTGCAATTTGTCGACGGAGCTTAAGTTTGGAGGTATAAAGTCGGTGCCGAGAGTACGAGACCTGGTTGATTGGCGGGACACGGCAGAGGCCTCTGCCCTGCGATGAGCGTAGACAGGCGTGTGCTGCTGCTGTTGATGATGATGATGATCATGATAATAATAAAAGAGATTGCGATGCAGTAATCGAACGACACGGGTGGGGGGGGGGGTCATTCGTGTGCTAGTAATGAACGGCAATAGTGAAGCATCCTTAGTCACCATAACTACTGTGAAAACGCACAGAGCAGGTTAGGTTACAACCAAGCAGCCACCATCACCCGTGTGTGAAGTCTTGACAAAGTCGGTGGCCCATGTGCAAAACCACGACCCGCACAAAGTGCCTTCTCGGGAACGAGACTACATCTTGTCAGTGTTGAAAATGGCAACGGCTGCTCAAACGCCTCATTTCGATACGTGAAATCCCGACGGTTTGAAAGAATAAAATTAACCCAAAGACAGCAAGTGAGTGTCGCAAGAAGTGGCGCAAGCGCGGGATGAGCGACAGGACACACACAGGACAGGCGTTCATGTTGGATATTAATGCGTTCGGTGGTTTCGAGTTTGCACGTGTTTGATCTATTCCATCTTGTCTCTTCTGTGTATAGTTAGTGTGCCCAAGTGTGCCTTAAAGATACATTACGAAAACAGCTGTTTGTAATGCTCTTAAAAACGGAGCTGAGAGTGTTCGCTATGCTTTGCAATGAATTTGTGTGGTTTGTTGTTGCACTTGTGCATCTGTGTTTGGCTATATGTGCCGAGATGTGGAATTGCGCTTCAAATTGTATGTTCAGCTGTAAATTGTGACGTCTCAAATGTGATGTACCAAGTCACGGGCACAGTACATGAGTTATATATATATATATATATATATATATATATATATATATATATATATATATATATATATATATATATATATATATATATATATATATATATATATGTATATATTGCACTTCTACAATGGTGGTGGGGTAAGCACTGCACACGATGCAATATTCAAGAAAGTCACAGCTGTGAAGAACTTTTCTGGTTTTTTTTTTCAAGGTGAAGAAGTGATATTCAAAAGCTAACGACGTACAAGTTGGTGTTGTACAATAAAAGAGAAAAACAGCTCTTCCACGACGACGAGGAAAAGAGAATGGCATAAGATGATATCGACATGTGTAAATAGCCTTTATTGTTTTATAAAAAAATGCCTCCACAAGTGGGCAATGTTGGGCTGATTGCTGTTGTACAGCGAAAACAAAAGGGGACACCTGTACGACGATGGCAGTGAAAGAACAACATACGTGTGTAAATGAAGTGAACGCAAAAAAATGAAAGAGCTCGTTTTTTTGTTAGAAACTATAATAATACGACCTATTAAATAATGGCGTTAAAGGAAAGTGTATGGGATGTTATTAGTAGAAGTAATCATGTTTATGTGAAAAGGAAAAAAGTGCGCAAAATATTATCTTGCCGCTGGCAGGGAACGAATCAGCGGCCTCCGCATAGTGCTTCCGATGGTCTATCAACTGAGACACTGCGGCGGCCACCTCACCGTCAGCTTTATGAATATTTCCATATGTGCACCTAAACGTGGGCGTGTCAGTAAATGCCACTGATAGCCATGACGGCGAGTGTGAAACAGATTCGCTGTGTGAATTTTTTTATTGTTTTTTAAAAAAAACTGCAGAAGCTAGCTACGTGTTTCCTGTTGAAATTGTGCAACGAAATGAAATAAAAACCGCTGTTTTACAATGAGGGCAGTAAAAATCAACGAACGATGCGATATTCTTCATATACACAGCTGCAAAGATTTCTCACTGTTTTTTATGGGAAAACAAAGTGCAGTATATTGAGCAATATTGTGGAAGATGGTCTGGCATACCTTGAGGAAAAGGACGCTGATGCGACAAGGACAGCGAATGAATGACACATGATACGATATTCACGTTATTCGCAGCTGTAAAGATCTCTTTTTATCGGGTCTGTGACAGTTGGTGTTGCAAAACGAAATGAAAAATAACGCTTATCAGGCACATACATGGACGGAAAGATACGCAACGATACATGCAGAATTGTCGCAGCCGCTATCTAAAGCTCTTTGCACCGCCAGAGCGATAGGCTCCAGGGGCATCCCTTCGCTCCGTAAACTATTAAGAAATGATGCTTCAAAGGTGGTTTGCTTACGCAAACAACCTTTTCATTTGCGTAATGGTTTGTACTAAAACACTCTAGAGAAGGTAACGGTGGTACGGGTTATCAAAACACCTACAGCTATGCGACAGAAACGCCAACTGACAGCAGGAATTGGCTAACTTGAAGAGGTTCAAATATTAAGTTGGTTTAAAGTGAAAGACATGCTCCTTTCAGCCCGATCTCGACGCTGCCCATAAATTCAGCATTATGACATCAGTGTTCATTGTTTAGTTACGAAATCAGTAATACGCTCGTGGGCAGTGAATGGCGGCTCGAGATAATGCGGCTACATGTACCGCATGATCGCTGAATGGTGTGTAGACTGAGCGCCCTTAATAAAAAAAGCGTGATTGATCCCTCTTCTTGGCATCGTTATAACACGAAAGGGAAACGCGTCCTCGCAGAGGTAGTTGATGATTAATTTTGCACTGCTATGCCCCAATGGCGAAGGAAATATTGCTGCAGTAACAAACTGCAATGTAACGTGAAGAAGGGCAAGCAGCTCGAAACTTGCAGCACACACCTCAAGCTGTAAGCTTGCACGAAAGGAACATATGACTGATGAGCACGGAAAAATAACTGTCACACCTCGACACTTAAATCACGCTGCTCACAGAGAAAGAAAGACACACAAAATGAACTCACAGGTAACACGGGGCGAGCGCGAACTGTCACAAATGTATTCGGGTGTGAGCATCCCGCTACTTTCGTAAACGCAGCTGCGGGATCGAGTGAAATGACGTTCGTGCTCTACTTGACTGCTGTAACTACAATGCAAGCTTGCTGTGGAAGCACATGAAACTACAAAGTGTTTGATTCCCCAGATAAAAGCGCACGCGAGTGAGCTACTACGCTATCGGCAGCTCTTTGACCACGCCATGGGGACGCACGCGCGCACAGTGGCGTGCGGGGATGGCGTGGCACGACGACCTTCAGAGCGCACGCGGGCTACGCGTGCGTCGTGCCATCACGCAACTGATGACGGAAACACGGTGACATTGCCGAGCTAAGAGGACCTCCAGCGGC